CTGTTCACCCAAATCGGGATCCGATTAAATGAATTAACCTATTTTCAAATCCCGATTTGGTTTTGGGTCGTCCTGTGTTAAGTCCTAAAGATTCGACGGGTTCCATAACATTTCAGCCAATCAACGAAAGAGTTCTGCGGATCTTCCGGTCTTATAACCAAATCTGAATGTGATTTCGAGATCTGATTTCTTCGTTAAGACCGACCGTTAGTATTTACAAGAGGAGGCTACCATAGTGGTAAAAACATGGTAAATATCTTGTTTGCGAACACCACGTATGTATGTGTATGATAGCAGGAGAAATGTGTGGGATGGTGTCAGTGGTCTGTAAACTGTAGTATAGATGTATGTATTAATACCGTCATCGTATCAAGTAAGAGTACAACAGCGTAGGAAAGTTGAGAGGACTTTTTCTTGGTTACATCATGTGCTTCAGAACGAACGGGCATTTGCCGATGAATGATTACTCAAGATCTACGTTGTAGGTCCAAGCGCAGTCCATGGCATCATTCACCGCTCATGAGGAAAAGCTGAAGAAGGGCTCCCCCCTATTTTTCCCCGCTGATGAACGCCAGATATCTAACGTTGGGTTTTACGACGTGAGCGAAGGGGAGATGCTGGGTGCCGTCGCAACCGATACGTTGTTCGTCCACGGAAGCAACAGCCGCGGAGGATCTGTCTGGAACAGAGGTAAGTCCATGCCGACGCTACGTGCTGATAGGCGTGAGGAAGGTCGGCGCACGTAAGAATCGAGAGGCCCGTATAAAAATTGAATCAAAGCGCGCAACAGGTCGAGGTGGTGCCCTGGGCCGGTCACCAGCACTGAACTAGCAGTACGCCACAACTGTTTGTTAAACTTGAGGTGGTGACCTCGGCCGGTCAAGTGTGGTGGTTACGTGCACCACGATTTGTCGCAGGGCAAACGAAATAATATCACTGTGTATAAAACAATAAAAACGTTATTCTGTAGGTTGAAACAGCAAACATCGTGACCGCCGCGTTAGCCGCGTCAATAGCTTCGTAGTTATTTTTGCTTCGTGTTTGTGGAATGTTTCCGGCAAGAATCACGCCAAAATTACCTTCGAAATGCCCGGAAATCTTGTCGCACGATATGCCAGGAGTTTATGAATACGTGATCCACGCGATGCTGGCCGTTTGACGCAACACAGGTGTGAAGGCCGGTTTCTCGCAAGGAAACGCCACCATCGCAAAGTGCACGACTTCCTGCGGAACCCGTCGTCTAAGAGGGCTTCCCGCCAGCGTGTCTACAACGTGCGACGATACGTGTTGGGCGGATGAGAGAGATGAGCCGTCTCGATTCGACAACCATCACTGTGGTGCAGGCGAGGGGAGAGGAGGCGTACTCAAGTTTTGCGCGCCTTAGCTGTTAAACCATTGGACACGCGCCCTCGTTATGACGGAACATTATTCCCTCAGGACCTATCGCCGATAGCCAATCGTCCCTTCCTCCCTCGCCAAATGTGATGCAAATACAGCTTCTGTTTCATCTACAGCAGCTCTTGCTTGATAGTGTGGGGTATCACATCGGCATTTCAGTAACATTTGATGGGAACTACGCACTTGAAGACGGTGTCCTGCCATCTGTCTTAATGCCTAGACTTTCCGAAAACATGGTGCTAGAGGTATTGAAGAGCATGGGAAAGGGTCGAATCAAATATTGTAATGTTCCGGAGGGGGAGACAACGATATTGCTCTCATTTTCCGGAAACATTTCGAACCCCGCAAGCCACCCCTATCGTTGAACGATTCTGTTTTCAGCTCAAATGTTTTACTAGAAACGAGTACACAGAAGAAGTTTGTCGATCGTAGGAAGACGTGGGTGTGGCTCGAATTCGTAGTGCAGTCTCTACTAATCACTTCACAATATGTGGATGATGACGCAATGCACTCCTAGCTCACCATTAAATTGATACTGTGTACGATCTGGGAAGTGTAACAGTATATTCCAGTCTTGCAGCTGGACCGACAGGTCTCTCACTCGGCAAAACCAGTGACAGAATGAGACAATTCTCTCGTTAATCGCAAATAGAGGATCTTGCGATTGACATTTCATCTTGCCAGCGATGCAGTACCGCCTTCGTGGTGAATAGGGGTATCTCCTATTGAAAGCTAACATTGTACCAGATGTTCGCAGGATACCGTCGATGATTTACAGCTTTACTTCCTAGCATGTCAACAGTTTTCCGTCCCCCACCACGACGACTGAAACATTCCAGGCAACCCCACATTGTTCGGCGACCACTGTCGGCTGTGTTACACCGACGGAGAGGCAGCGTTACGGGTAGACCGAGAACTTGCGCAGCAGTTCGATGTGACCACCGTAGCGAAAGCTGCACCAGGCAAGCGATACGACGGAGGCGGGACCGAGAGCATCAGGAAGCACGTGATCATGTGTGACACAAAGCGTCCACCCGAGGCGCTCGAGTGCACCCCGGAGTGCAGCAAGAAAACTGACACGGTGCGCCTATCGGTAACACCGCCATTGCTGGACCTTCGCAGTGGTGTACAGTCGAGAGTAACGTCATCACCGTAGCGGACCAGCTCCACTGGTACTTGGAGGCGACTGTGGTTGGTTGCACAATCACATGCGTCTGACTCCCACACGCGTGAACCCCAATCCAATCGATGAATGGTAAAGCACGCTGGGTTTTACATTTCGTACATTTTGCCGAATAATATGGCCCTACTGAATCGCGTGACCCCATCCACATGTTGTACCCTGACGAGCCCTGCCCAACGACTCAGACAATACTTTCAGTAACACTCAGTAGTATTCTACTCCAAAAGAAAAGGATTGGTGGGCTCAGTGTGGGCGTATTGTCAAATGGTCGGCTACGACATGAGCCGCAGATGGGAGCGCCCGACGTTTGTTGGAAGGGACTATATGTATGTCTGTTGAGTGAACAGCGTGGTAAGTTTAAAGCAGAACAGTGTCAGGGCTGTAAAGTTGAGGGTTGGTCCACAAGAAACATGACGGTACTCCTGGCGTTCGCTTGTACATGTACCGTGCGTCATCGAGGATACGGTACGCACAAACCTTACAACATAAATGCCATCCACGGCCTTTCAGTTTCTGCATAATTGTGGCCGTCTTGAACGGGTAAACCCAGCAACAACCACAGCGTTTAAATTTCATCGTAGGTGTGCGACCAGAGATGCGGTACCGGCCACTTCCAAAACCTGCATTGCAACTGGAGGGGGCTCGGGAAGACCTGTCGGTTCTGTTTTACTGACCACGTACCTGCAAGAATCGCAGACGAGATCGCATCAGCTCGAGGCAGCCGGGTGATCATGTAAGGAAGTAGCACGGCCGAGCGGAGGGTTGCAAGGGGCAAGCGAACCTGTACATGGCATTCCACAGGCGACCTTCGTGTTCGTTGTGAACGGTTTCAGCCAATGTCAGCCCTTGAGCTCGAGGAGTCCTTTTCAGTCGATTAACGTCAACGTATTTGTTTGCGACCCTAATTTCATGTAGCGTGCGCATGCATGCTGCTGCAGCCTACATACTTTGCTTGTAAGTAAAAGGGAAAAATGTAAAATCGTTTTCTGCTCGTACTGTCCGCCGTGAGCATGGTGCCGCAGGCCTTTGCTTAGCCTCACATATGTGCTCTAGCATTGCTCTAGCAGCGTTGGCTTTTCTTCTCAAATAGCGCCGATTCGTATGGCAAACGTCTGGCGGACTAATAGAATGACCCGGCTTTAGCGTAATGGACGAACCTCTCCAAACATGTCCACGAACGGAGATTGACTTGTTCCCGGCGGCAATCGTGTATTCCACAACAGACTTCCTCTACTAGATAGTTTGATTTTTTGACAAATAGTGTTTTTGTAGTGCCCTGCTACTAAGGGAATGCGAGCGATATCACGCACTTGTTTGCCATGATCAAGCTCACGACGAGTGTCTGCTTTCATTCGAACGGGACGAATAACCTTCTAGACCCATCTGGTCAGTTTGATCTATGAAGTCCTGTCCATTTCTTGAAATGCAGGTGTGACACCCACGAGCCTCCAATCTTCGGAGGCTCGACACGACCAACTTTGATCAGCGAAACCGTTGAGGACGAGTCTTCATCCGGTAGCTCAGACGATGACGGCTTCCTCATAGGTGAGAGAGTAGGCCCTTTCCTTATTGGAGATCGTATTCTATTGCCACCGGGGAGCTTCTAATGCCACCGAGGAGGTCGCCACTCAGTTCAATTTTGTTTGGATGCTTGGCATTGATCTGTTCTCGCAGCTTGTAGAGTCCGTTTGTTTCAGTGTTTTTTCAGGTTCTCGCTTACAAACGTCGACGTACGCCGATTTTTCGATTGTGGTAATAAAAAATATTTTATAATAGCACCAGCAGTGGTTTCGTTTGCGCAAGGTTGTTTTCGTCGGTTGTGAGATAGGATCAGCGCTACGTTGTCATTGTCGCAAAATCGGCCTGTCCTTTTCAGCGCTGCTTTGTGAAAGCGGGCTCGCCGTACAGACCTTGAACGCTTGCCCGTATCGCTCATTGATGTCGAGGCCCAGCTGATGACCATTTATCGTACTTTTTGCTGGTGACGCGTTCCCCATACATATACCGCATATCGTTGACGCACCTCCCCTGCCTGTAGCCTTTAAAGGAAAGGAGCAGTACAAGCAGCAAACAGAAGTTGGGTACAACACCTCGTGAGAGTAGTTGGAGTCGGATGTCTGTGTGCCGAAGTTGGTTATTTTGTGCGTTATGAGAATAACGTGGTTGCATGATTCACGAGACATCGCCACCATGACAAATCTACTTCAAAACCTAACGGCATTAAAGCGCCCCCTCCACCCGTCTATCTGTCCCCTGCTTCTGCAAATTATCAGCCGAAGTGCGGGATGCTACGTACGATATTTCACGAAAAAAATCTTTCACCAAGGACATTACGCGAGGCGAAATATGTGTCTTCGTGCCCGGGTACCTGGAATTTCTAGCAGAAACGAACCACACCGTGAATAGCGTCCTTGGATTTATGCCGGGCGTACGGGTGTCCATCGCGACGTCCATTTTCGACTACCACGTGTACGACAGGTAAGAAAGCTGCCGACAATGTGCACTATTGCGGTTAATCACATTTATGGTGCACGCACCAGGGTGTGCAAGATTTGTCGAAAGGTTCACAATTTTGCCGTAAACGGGATGAAGTGTCGTAAATGCCGAAGGTGCTCCCAACAACCGTCGGGATGATCTAGTATTTTTGGCGGCGTCGCACTTTCTCAACTCCCGCTCTCCAAGCCGCTGTAGCCACCACCACCACGTCCGTCGCAGAACGAGTCACGTTGTTCACTTCGGGGTGTGACCAGGATTCCACCACATACTTTGTAAAGCGGCACAGCCTTGAACATCAACAATTTGCCTTCTTCCCACCGCATGCACACCTGTCGCCGTCACGCGTCCGTCACACCTCTGTCGCGTCTCGTGGCAATAGAGTCGTTGGACAGCGCGCTGGTGTTCATGTCTGGAACAGCTCTCACGTCGACTTCGCTGCCTTGAAGGCGGATAAAGCGTGCGGCAACGGTACCAAGCTCATCTACTACATGTCCCCGGGCCAGGTGCTAAGCCGAGAGTTCACTTCCAAGGACACGCATTCGTCAAGGGGTGATCTGGTTGTGTCTTACACTAAGGTGCGCGTACTCTAGCAAGAGCAGCTCTTCAAATTGAGTAAAGGGTACATCGTTGTATAGTTTGTGTATCCTTCTTTGCCAGAGTAACGTCGTCAGGGCAGATCAACGACTAAGGCGAGTGGCTGCTCCTCTTGGTGCTTTGCTGTCCCAGATATCTACGAGTACACACCGGTATACGGATTATTGAAAATATGAGACCCACGCTGCACTTATACCGATGGCAGACCTAGCAAGGTCGTCCCGTAGCGGCGCATGCCAAGGGACGACGGTTCATCTATGTCACCCTTTGTCCAGACAACCCCAGATATGACTGGCGCCGGGATGTTGGGCGTTGCAATGGCCGCACGCACGAGCGCCTTTGGTTTACCGGTGCCATATCTCCGCCACTGTTTCACCGATCATGTTTGTTTAGGCCATTTGGTGTTCCGGACAGCGGGTTGCCCCCCGCCCTCATGCTTCCGACAACAAATGGTTGTTTTCCACGCCGGGTGGTCGCCGTCTTTATGGTCTAACGGCTGTTTATTCATACAGTCCGCTGCCCACGGTCCCCTCGCGAAATAGTAGGTGAACAACCTGGATACGACCAACGCCCTTCGTGCCATAATCACGACGCTGATTCTTGGTGAGTTAGTGGTTTAGATCACTTGAGTGCAAACTCTTCGTGGATACACCGGCTCAATGACCTCTTTGCAACTCAATCGAAGCGAACATTGACTGGAAACCAGCAGAAATAGTGCCACAGCGAGGCGTTGCATCATCCCCAGCTTTTGTCAGGCGACACCCCTCTGCATTTGTGTTGGTAATGCGAATAAGCACACAGTTTGCTCCATATTTTGTTCTAGGTCCCGCGATCTGACAAGGTCGAACTTCCTGTTGTACAGCACGCACTGCGCCGTGCCTCTGGCTTCTGCTTGCAAACTGTCAACTTCGTCCCGCCGCAACCACATTTGTCGTCCTGCACCACAAAACATGCAGGATTCAACGCCCCGTCGTTCACGTATGGAACAGATCTGATTTTACCGGCTGGCATGAACGCGGAGCTAAGGAAGGTGAAAAATGTCGACCTAGAAGACCCAAGGTCATCAAACGAAATGTTACCGGCATTTTGTGAAGAACCAGCGCCTCTTTTCCTACATTACTATTCCTACACTGACTAGAAGGTGACGCGCGTTTGTTCTACACGACTCAAAGCACGAACCACCCAAATCAGTCTTAGTTATTCACACTCTCGGGTACGCTTTCATACAACATGACCTTGTTACTGTCTTCCGGCGGTCCTGGTGGGGCCTGATGTAATTCGGTTTGTCCCACTCGGATGTATGCATCAGGTGCTCCTGTCTGCATCTTCAACGCTTGCAGACGATGCCGTGGGGTCGCCCCTGTCGTTGAAGAAACAGGAAGCTCCACCAACCGGAGACGAAGAGCAACAGGAGCTGGACCTTCTGCGAGACTACGTTTTGGCGACGGCTAGTATCCATCAGCTACAAAAAAATGTCTTCATTCCGGAGGTATACGACTATCATCACTACGGTCATTTGATGTCACACCGTAGGCAGTTTGAGTTCGCTGTCGGACGATATACACGTTCTGTGCTGTCGCTGTCCATGTCCTGCTGCATGTCGCAATTCAAAGACTCAGCTTAACTCGTACGTTTGTTGAGTCCCTACAGACGAAAAATTTGTAGCCGTTGCGTGAGGTGATAAAAGTCAGGCCGGGCACCAGTGCTACTAGCAGTTGCAATATGTTTGTGTTTATCGTCCTACGCACTGCCCGCCACCGTCGGTCCGTGTTTTCTCTTCTATCGACAGCTCTTGGCCGGCCTGTCGTACGCAAGAAATACCGAGGGCGTAAGTTTTCATAACCCCGCGCAGGTATGTACGCTATTGCACCGGGTAATGTGTATGGACTCAATTTTTGTATAACAAGCTTTCGGAACGTTCTGCTTGAAATTACGGCAAAATTTCGAGGACGAAAAGCATGTTGTCCGTGGCTCTTCTTAGACATGGAACGTGTACTTGAAAGAGAGGCAATCGTCTCGACGACAAGCCACCTAGATATGGCTTATTTACAGACTTGTACAAACATGTCGGTGGACAGAACCTCATTGCTGTGCTAGTAGCATCCCATCAGTCATATACATCTCTACCGCCCGCGCTCGATCGTGAAATGTGTTGTCAACACATCACAGTGGACCCACGACCACATCTTCAAGGAGAAGTCCGTTTGGGACATCCCACTCGTGAAACCTCACTTCAGCTGCGCGCTGGACATTAATCTGTCGCTACAAGGCTTGGACGTCGCAGAGCAGATTGGCAATTTGGTGGACAGTTTCCGCCGTGGCGCTAGGTACGACTACGTTTTCGGTACTACATACAGGGTGGGATGTGTCCCACCGTTGCACAAGCGGATACGCCACTTGCTTTGAAAACTAGCGTACTGTGGACGTACATATACGCAGCTATGGTAGCGCAGTAAACTTCACAATGACCTCGTTGTATATCCGGGCGGCCTCGCCGTCGTTTTAAGCTTTGGTCCTGCAAGCCTGCGTGCTCTTTCGCCTCCAAACCATGTGTCAGAAATATTTATTGATTATAGGGTATCCACTATGGATTGACGCGGAATTTTGACCTTTGAGGATTGACGCCAACATAAAGTGACGGTTGAGGGTTTTGACAGGAAAAAATTCGCACCGCGTGTGCCCGTTGACACGTGAGAGGTGAAAAAAAAAAATGGTGGAGGTAGAGTTCAAGGTTGGTTCGGGCTGCCACCCAGGGTCGACATTCCGAAGCGAAGACTCACACCCCCAGGCTCCCAGGAGACTAGGTGTACCCCTTCGCCTCATCCCGCCGACCTTCCCTCCTTTGCCGCGGCGACTTTTCCCAGGCGTCAAACTGCGACTTCCCAGGCGTCAAACTGCCGTTCGTTGCTGATGAGTAAGGCAGCTGCTCGCTGCACTGCTGTGTATATACCGATGTCACTGCGGCAGCAGAGCACCGAACCCCGTGAGGGGGCGGGCGAAATGCACCTACTGACTGGCAAAGTCCGTGTACCCTCCCTTACTCCTCTCCATGTGCTGCCTTCGAGGGCGAGACTCCCCCAATCACTCCCCTGCCTATGCCCCTTTTTGCTGCTGAAAGCCCGTGCGCACTCGCGACGGCGCATCTACCGAACGCGCGCGCCGAACACGCGCGTCTGGCCACTTGGCCGCCGTGAGAACTGCCGAGACGCGTGGGTGCAGGACCGCTAGGAGCAATCAGTATAGGCATGGCCAATGTGTTCGCTGCTGACCGCGCACAGCAGACCGCAGCAGAGCAAGCGTGTGTGAGCCACAGTCTGGCGATGTTTGAAGCGTCAATCTTTTCGCGTCGTTTTATGTTTGGGTGAAATTTTATTTTGACGCTTCCTCACAAAAATTTCGCCGTCAGAGTTTGCCCCCAAAAAAGCGGCGCAACCTCTTCACGTCAAAACTTCCTGAAATGTCAATCTTTCACGTCATTTCAACAACACGTGGATTCCCTCTATTCTGGGCTCATGTATCGGGGAGATGTCCTCAGTGTTTCCTTGACTCTAGCCCTTTGATCGGCAGTGGAACTCACACGTGTAGTGTCACAACAAACTTTCGTTGGCGCGATACTTCTATGCATCCTCCCTTATATCAGGGAGAAGACAGGTTGTTTTACGAGTATTCAAAACTAAGCGCACACTACCTTCATCCATTTCTCATGAAGTCGTTTCTTCTTGCAAGTAGGAACTACACAAGCACCGATTAGTTTCTTACTTTTCAAAAACATCGTTTTTTTAGGAAGACGTGTCTTCACATCGGGCCGCTCCTTACTGTACATGGCGTTGAACGTCCTATGCAGTTGCGAGCTTGGCTTTGAAAAAATGCACAAGAAGCACCTGAACACGAAGCCGCACTGGGAGTTCGGCCCGCTGACGTCACGTGATCCCACGGAAAACGAAAGGAGAAAGCTCGAACGCATGCCGAGCCTCAAGGACTACCACATCAGCGTGATGTTTAGAACATTTTTCGGAGACGCCGTCCTCTTCAATGTCGCACTTCCCACGGTATGTTAGTGCGTAGGCCTCTCATGACACGACTTGACATGCTGCCGTAAGTTTTGTAGCTCTTCCGTGTCTGTACATGTGTCAGCATTTACCAAGAGACAGCTGTGTAGGACATCTTGAGTAGAATCGCTCAGGCCCGCGGTCATAATCAGTCACACGTTCAACGGCGTATTCGTGGCTTTATAAAGCTCAAAACAACAGCAGCGTATCTCACGGTTGAACATTACAGTACCGTCGGGCACGACGCCCAGCCACTCATTTGTTCATCTGGTGTACAGTATCCCTCGCCAGCGAGCAAAACATCACGAATCCGTCACAATTGTCACCAAATTCGAACACGCCGCTTTTGTTCACGTCAACTTGCGGACTTCAGGTGGCCAGATATTTCCCAGATGCCAAGGAAGTAGTGGTCGTCGTAGAAGAATCCGATGGAGAGCTGTTCGAGGAAATTATCAAGCCGCATCAAAATACGGCCCCTTTCCCCATCCGCGTTGTCACCGAGCCCGACATTATGGACGGTCACATTCAGCAGAAGTACTCCAAGGTACAGTTACGTGTGGAGGTTTGGCGCGTTGCCTTTCGGCATGAACCAGGTATTGGAGAAGATCTACTAATGGGTATCACACGGGGGACACAGCAAGGGGTGGACGTAGCTCACGTGCCTGGCTGGTCAACGGAGATATGCTTCGGTTTCTTGTTCCCACCACCAACAATTGTTGGGGTGGCGGAGGGACTAGATGATACGTGACCAATGTCGTTGCAGAGCTGCGACAGTTCGACGTCCACGAAGCGTGGTGGAGATCATCCTTATTTTGACAGCTTCGTTCCAGAAAGCAACACTATGATACATCGTTCATACCGTCGCCAATGAAGTCGTGATGTTTGAGCCAGCCCCCGATGAACTCTCATTCACCCACCATTGGCCAAAGATAGTCAGGTGTGGAGTACAAACCAGGCTTGTATTCGTTTAAGCGAAATGCGTCCGCCACACGCTCACGGCCCACGAAAATCATGGGGCTGACCGACTAACGACCTCAATTCTGTCTACCGCTGCCGCCGACAACAGCTGCGAGCCGATCTTTACTGCGAGGGTGACTTCATTCTGCACCTCGACTCCGACGTGGTCCTGTTCGAGCCTCTGACTTACGACCACATCTTTCACTGGGGAAAGCCGGTTTTACCGTTTCGTCGATACCGAGAAGAGATCATTACAGGCAAAATGCTGCTACTCGAGCGCGCGAGGTTGATTTACTCTCTTGCTTGAGTGCACTGTAACCGGTTGTCGTCGAACATGCCGTAATTCGTGTCTTTTTGTATCCGGCTTGCCTACTGCGCTTCACCATAAGATGTGATGGCCAGCGCGCCGTTTGAGCTCTATTCATCTCACTCTGCAGTAGAGGTGCCATCTCCAGGTCTGTGTCCTCGTGCGTAACGTCCTCGCCAGTTGGTGCCGCAGTGCTGTACAGAAACTGAATATCGGTATCACGCGTTAGCAGGGAGCGGCAAGGTGGGAGGCGTCTAGCTTGCGCTCTCTCCGATAGTGAACAAAAGCCAACTTACATGGTAGCCTACAGGCTAAGCCGGTACCTGGTATGTCTCTTGTCGTTCCGTCTACAGCCCATTAGACGGCCATTGCTTCAAATGTCGCAATCAAACGTGTTTGAACATTGCAGGCCAACAACTGTCCGCGTGCTGGAGAAAAGGCACTTCTTTTGCGATTGGGGAAGACGTTGTTCACGAGTTCAGCATCTTCAACACACACGTGTACCCCCGCAAAATGTGAGATGATTTGGCCACCTTTTGTGGCGAGAGTCTGTTGTACAACATAAGTAGTGGTTTGGAGTTTTTCACGGTTGTGATGTGCAATACATTCCCCTGCTTCGTTGTGACGCTTGCGAGGTCGACCTGATGTTCTCGTAGTAAGCACTATACAACAATTTGTCGAGACTCGCTTTGTGTAAACCAGTTTCTCCAACCTTGATATGTCGTTCAATAGTCAACCAAATAGGATGTTTGTCACTCTCACTACGCTGCGCCCGGCGCCCGGGAACCTGCCCGCTAGGGCAGATGGGAAAGCGCCTGCCCTCAAGACGGTACAATACTCTTCTTGGCGTTAGACACGCACAAAATGCACAGCGGATTTCCAGAGGTCAGCCCACTTCACAGCGGTTAGGCCTAACCCAACCCTTAACCCTAACCCTAACCCTCACTCAACCCCCTAAGCTAGGCTGGTGTGCGTTGGTTAAGTTCTACGTTGCTATAATCGGCCGAACAGCTTGAGGGCAGGCGCTTCCCATCTGCCCTCGAGGGAAGATTCCCGGTCGCCGCGCTGCGCCCACTCACTGACTTTGGCAACCACGCAACACAGGTACCCTGCCATTCGAGATTTCATTGCGGAACGCCATGGAATACCTTTCAAAGAGTTCATGGCCAGTCGAAGAGGAAAATGTATGAGTGTGAAGACGCTCAAAAAGTGGACACTTGAAGAACAAACCCTCCTCCTATCAGACTTCAATCTCATGGGCGCCTACCTGTGGTGAGTTCTAGCAGCCTTCGAACACCCGGTGCTTTTTTTAGATTTTAAAACTCTCGTCGAGTGTATCGCTACAAGCTCGCCTTGAGAGGGCGTCAATAAGTTGAGGGCAGGAAGACGATATCAGGATCAACCACATCGACGCCGATGATTTGGGGGTGGAGTTGGGATGCATACTAGGGCATCAAGCTCTTTTCTTTCAAGTTTTAATTATTATTGTTCAAGTTTTAATGCATGTCACCTGTTTCGTGTCGTTGTCTGATTTTGTTGTGTGATGGCATGGGTTTGGTTGTGGTTGTGGTTTGTTCTGGTCTACTTGATCTGTTATGTTTACTTGGTTTGTCTGAGTTTTGAGAAGAGACATGCTCTCTACGAGTATTGAAGCAAGAAGTCACAGTTTTGATGTTTTAGGCGCTTCTCTGTGTCGAGTTCACATCAAGTAGACTATGCAGTATGTTTTGAGTGTTTTTTTAACCGAGTCTATCTGCACTTGTCGGAGGGCAAACGGAACAATAACAATTAGTTTAACATTAGCGAAGGAAGCCGCACAAATCGCGTATGAGCAATCCCAATATCGGCTATTTCTAGAAATTGTACGCCATACTCGCAATGTCTATTGAATTTTTCGACATGTCCCGCTCTCAGTGTGACTTGCCTCGGGCGTACCCACTCGGTTCGTGGTGCGTCTTCTTCAACTTCAAGGTATCATATGCCCGACGAAATGCATTGGATGGCCACCGACCCGTACGACATGCAAGTGGACGAGTGGCGCAGGGACGTCACCAGATACGCGTGGGTTTGCCAAGTGAGCACGCTCCTCGTACTCGTTCGATGATGTGCTCTTTGTTTCGAGCCACCGGGGTCTCACTTTTGAAGACACGGTTGTTTTGTTTCCATCGACGTATGTGCTTAACAACTGCTTCCGGCGCATATATTTGAACTGGCAGACGCATTTTATTTAACCAGCTGCCCTTTCGCGCAGAAGATACAAAATCCTTATACACTCTATTTGCTCTATAAGCATCTACGCCTCCCCCCCATCTTGCGGTCGGCTATGTATCCAATGCGTATTCTCCTCGTCCTGCAACACCTATCAGGCGAACGGTCGACATGTGCCCGAGGACAAACCAGGCGAGGAGCAATACATCAGAGGTTTGCTCAGTATCTCCAACTTCAATGAATGCGTTGGCTTCAAACTGTTCTGGAAGCGAAACATTATGAAGAATCCAGAGTCACGCGAGCCCAACCCTCCCCAGTTTCTGGAGGAATACTGAACGCAGATTTGGGATAGACGGGATTTGCGTCGGGTCGGGTTAACAATACCCTGGTGAAACCGGGTGCTCTTGAGGCCACCAGGCTAGGTCGGGTTTAATTCGTACTGTAACTATGTAGTCGAGCACTCGAACGATCGGGGATTACTTGCTGAACTTATTTTGGGAAAAGCACGTCGAGCCTGTTCCCCGGAAGTGGCGGGCAGGTGTGAGTAGAGTGTGGATCTGAACCTGGTGCCAGGGAAAGGGAGCAGGGAACTGCTGTTTTCAATGTTCTCCGGTGAGACAATTTTACCGAGTTCTCGCCTAACATCGAACGAGGTGGCCTGCCACCGCTATCCCCAGAGAGACGGGTTTGTGGTTCGTGGAGAATTTCGTTAGTGTGGGGCAGAAGGGTGCCAAGCGTGTCAGCAAATAAGGCTCTGGCTTCCCCCTCTCTCACACTCACTTTATTCGATCATCTGTTGCTGTTCTATCATTCAAGTTGTGAAATTGCGATTGCTCTTCGAAAAGTGAACGAGGCGCGCCGCTTTTGGGCTTTACACCTGAGCAGTGACTACTGACTGCTACTGACTAAAATTGAAGGCGGTGGGGTGTCGACGGTACCTAACATCAAGTGCTTGCAGCCGCTCCCTCCGCTGCGACTTTCGATTTAACAGCCACCCAAAATTGAGTCGAGCTCGGAAGGCAGATATCAACACTCACGGGTTGCACTTCGGAGGTCAAACGTATCTAGGAAAGCGAGTACATTTTTCGAATCGTTAATCTAACCGTCTCTTGAAACACGGGCAGTTCACATCTCATCCACCTAGGGGTGCTATCGAGGTGTCCGTTCGCAGCGTCGATGTCTATGTATTCTGTAATGAAATGACACATGTCCACCCACCGCCGCAAGGAAGGAGTGCGAAGGAAACAAAAAAAAAAAGGAGACGTCGACGTTTGCGTCGTGGAACGATCCTTCCGTATATCGCAGGTACTCACCAATGCCAAGACGAGGAGGAAAAACACCCATTGTGAAGTCAAAGCGCAGGTAATAACTGCATATGACTCATGCGCGGAGAAGTTACCACGGAGACTTATCAACAAGAATTTTAAAGGCCAGCTGAGAAGGTTTGAAGACACAAACACTTAGTACGCGACGATGGCAAGCGCAACGTCAAAACTTCACAAGAAGAAAAGTGCATGATACAAAAAAAGAAAAGGCCGGATGCCGACCTATCTATGGCCCTCTCGGAATGAAGGGGTTCCCACAATTTTCAACAGGTAATCCACAAGTATCGAGGAGGCCGACGACGATTAATGACACAGATGTGGTACGCATAGGATAGGGGAAGGAAACGCAAGGGGAAAAAGTCGTACTTTAATGCAATCCTTCCTTATAACGCAGGTACTCACCAATGCAAGGCGGGGAGGTAAATTACCCATCGTGAAAGTCAAAGCGCAGGTCATAACTGCACATGACTCATTCGCGGGGAAGTAAACACGGAGACTTATCAGGAGGAAGTTTGAAGGCCGGCTAAGAAAGTTTGAAGACATAAGCGCTTAAGCGACCATGGCAATCACAAGTACCTCGACCCATCACGACTTCCATGTACAGTAGTACCCCAGTAGTATATACGATGTGGAAGATCCCCGAGGAGCGCCTTTGCGCGGCAACAACTACAGAGGGAGCGAGAGCTCTGCCTGTACGTGTTGGTGGACATGTGGCAGGCGCATGACACGCGAACGGATGGTTGCATCGCATAGTAATAACAGTAGCATGGCTGGCCGTCGGAGAAGCTATCCCATCCAGTCATGGTCGTTGCCTGCCGTAATAGGCTGACGTCGTTCGGCGTCTGGTCCACCCTGCTGTGAAGCATCAACAACCAGTGATCGAGCTATCTACATATATATAAAAAAATAAAATATTGTATATATGAGACAGGAACCTCAACGGCACAGCACAGCAGCAGCAGCAGCGCACCCCAAATAAACCGATTTCACCTTTTTTCTTGTGTACCGCAGAGCCGGTTGCGGCGCCACCCCCGCACACTCACCGCCCCATGACCGCGGCCGCGCTGGGCGCGAGACACGGCGGGCAGTGTCGTTTGTGGCTCGGTCTCCCTCGACGCGAAAGGAAAAAGCACTGGATTGATTCGTAGCAGTGAGGTTTCTATAACAGACAGAGCACAGCAGCTGCACACAGCAGCAGCCCCCCAAAACAACGATTTGATCTATGCTTTGTGTAGCGCAGCCGGTTGCGCCGCCACCTCCGCACGCACACCCTGCGCCACCGTCGCGGCCGCCCCGCGCGCTGGGCGCGAGACACGGCGCGCAGCACCTTGTGTGCCTTGGTCTCCCTCCTCGCGAAAGAGCCGGAGGCTGAAACATCGAACAGCGCGTTTTTGAAAAGGGACGACAACAACAACAACGACGACGGCGACGACAACAACGGCCTACAAAGTTTAGTTTTGTAGGTACAGATTTCACTGGGTCATGTGACTTCATTTGTGATCCGAGATTAGAAGAATTTGTAAATGAAGGAATATTTCATGGAAGTCCATGGAAGTCCATGGACTTCCATGGACTTCCATGAAATATTTCACTAAAAAAATCTAAAATGTAGATGACTGCGAGGAATGGGTCGGACTGCTCCTGGCATGTATACAAGTCGTGGGACGACAGGAAGCTGCCGGACTTCATTGCTTCCAAGTCGGGACACTTCATCATCAGCTCGTCGTTGCTCCGGGACACGGCGATAAACCAGACAACCAGCAAGAACGTCCTTTCCTCACACGTGAGCGTACAGGATGCTACCTGCGTCCACGTTACACATAGAAATACAGCAGTATCTCTGTGACCGTTTGTTCTTCCCCTATAGTGTGGGATAAGACAGCGGCTTCACCTCCCGCTAGGTTGGTGAAGTCAACCGTCGTGAAAAGGAAATGTAGGAAGGTTTGTTCGTCGAAGCAGATAGAATAAACTGGTGTTTATTTTGTAACAGTCGAATTAGAATTTGGCTTCATTTTCTACCGGAAACCCAGGGTCACGGTGTTTGGAATTATTAGTCTATAGTTGGGGGTGTCATTCCGTGATCGAGTCCACGCAGGGGCTGTAGCAAAGTCGGGTAACGTGTGACAGCTACAGAGCGCGTGAAGCAACGGAAGGACAGCAGCAGCCGCCTAACGCAGTAGCGGCGGCAGTTTAGAAAAGGGCGGGACGGGACACGGCGCAAGCATTGGGGAAGTGACCAGCACGCGACTCTCCATATAAAGGTGTGTACTCGTGTCCAACATCCATCGTGTCGGCCGTGTTCCTATTCGCGTCCCGCTACTCTTGTGACCTCACCGCTGCGTGCATTTAGCACGAGGGGGGAGGGTGCAGTAAGATAAGCGGCGGCAAGCCAACGCAGTCTCGCTCGCCGCGCCGCTCAGATAGGTCCCTTCCCAAACATGGGATGCGGTTCATCCCAACCGAGACGTACTCTCGCTGAAGAAAAAAAATGCGGTTCGTCCCAACCAGACGTACTCTCTCTGAAGAAAAAATTCAACGGCAAAAAGAAAGAGCGGGGCCTGTTGTATGGTCGCACGCTGACTTGTCGCGGTTGATAGCAGCCATTGTACTGCACGGGGTGGAGGAACCCTGCGGCATCGGACATAACCAATCGACCCGCGGCAGTAGGGCATGATGCTGTCACGATTATGCACATGAGGCAGGTGCCTTGTTTTCTGTTTCCCCCGGCTTACTAGGGACTACTTGCCGGTACAATCTTGTCTGTGCCGCGCACAGAGGGGCATATAGCTGAAGGAATCGACGATAATATGCCCACTCACGTAAGCAATCGTCTCCACGGATGGTATTGACAAGTCCCCACTGATGGTATCGACAAGTCCCATGGCATACAAAGCGGCCGCATACGTAATCGGAAAGTGCATTCAACAGCATTCACGGGAACGGATAAAAGCAAAAACACATGCATGCGAGAGAAAGACTCAAAGAAAAAGACTGAAAAACAATGAAGACGAGAAAAAAAAAACGAGACAGCGAACTACGTGCTGTATGCATAAGGAAAAAGAAGATGAGAAAAAAATAGGGGGGGGAGGTGGATGTGACACGCGAGGTTCGGACTCGCGAGGAACGTCAGGTAGCGGTCCATGTGAGTGCATCACGGTCTCGAGGGGCATCACGTCAAATTTATTGCCGCCGTGACACAAACCTTCTATAAGAATACGTCACGTCCATCGACGATTAAGCGACCAAAAACGCCCGGACAGCAATTGATGCATGCCAAAAACTCGTCAACCTGCCGTAGGATTGTCTATGCGGAAGTGATCTCAATGAAAATAAAAAAAACAAGGACACGCACCAGCACGGGACGCGCCAATAGTGGAAGCACTCGTCCGTGCTGTTGGCGAGTGGAAGTTAACCGATCTCAACGCAACGAAACACGAAGTCATACATGTATCAGCACGGGATGCGCCAATGAGTGGAAGCACCCGCGCTGTTGGCGAGTAGAGTTAACCGAATTCAACGCAGCGGTAGAAAAATACCACAAATCATGCATCAGTACGGGACGCGCCAATGAGTGGAAGCACCCGTGCTGCATATGTGATGTCAGCCTCAGCACGGGACGCGCCAATGAGTGGAAGCACTCGTGCGGTTGGTGAGTAGAGTTAACCGATCTCAAAAAGAAAGAACAAAACGCAAGTACATGTATCAGCACGGGACGCGCCAATGAGTGGACGCACCCGTGCTGTTGGCGAGTAGAGTTAACCGAATTCAACGCATCGAAAACGAAGTCGTACACGTATCAGTACGGGACGCGCCAATGAGTGGAAGCACCCGTGCTGCATATGTGTTGTCAGTTTCAGCAAGGGACGCGCCAATGAGTGCTGTTGGCGAGTAGAGTTAACCGATCTCAAAAAGAAAGAACAAAAACGCCGTACACGTATCAGTACGGGACGCGCCAATGAGTGGGCGCACCCGTGCTGTTGGGCGAGTAGAATTAACCGATCTCCACGCATCGAAAACGAAGTCATACACGTATCAGTACGGGACGCGCCAATGAGTGGAAGCACCCGTGCTCATATGTGTTGTCAGTTTCAGCAAGGGACGCGCCAATGAGTGGAAGCACCCGCGCTGCGTACAAGTATCATCAGTGCGGGTCGCGCCAATGAGTGGAAGCACCCGTGCTGCATATGTGTTGTCAGTTTCAGCGAGGGACGCGCCAATGAGTGGAAGCACCCGCGCTGTTGGCAAGTGGAGTTCACCGTATCCAACGCATCGAAAAAAAAAAAAAAACACGTATCAGCACGGGACGCGCCAATGAGTGGAAGCACCCGTGCCGATGGCGAACCGGGGTTCACCGAATCCAAGAAAATATATATATAAAAAAAAAAAAAAAAAGAGAAACCATCGCTAGTGTTCCAAAGAGAGAAATATTCGGGATTGGTCGACGTCCGGTGACCGTAGCGTCAGCAGCAATAATCACTCCATTCAATCCACAGGCGTCGAGAATGAACTAACGCGAGCTCGCGATATAACAACGCGTCGTTCTGGGCCCGACGAAAACCCACGTCAGATAGTTTCGCCCGAAGATAGGATTTGTAGACCATTCTAACTGCAGATCCAGGCGCGCGATCGACTACGCCCACGATGAAG